CCTCTCAGAGCGCCGTTCTCGCTCCAGTGCCGCACACGTTCGCATCCACGAGTTGCAGGGGCTTCGCAGATGGCGGGTGGGCTGTTTTCAAGAACAGGTGGCGCTCGCGTTCGCGCCGTGCACACTCGTCGTCATAGTTGCAGCAGTTCCACGTGTGCAGTGCGGTACCTTTTTCAAAGCGTCGTTCTCGCTCTAGCGCCGCGCACATCCGCCTTAGGATTCTACTCAGGAGGGGAAGAAGCACACAGACACACTTAATCGTCGACTCCCAGGGCAATATGGGAGACTATGGGAAGTGCGGGGGAAGACAAACACCCAGAACATATGGGAATCTATGGGGAATCCTGTTATGTGTGTGTGTATTCATTTGTGTGTCCCTGGGTACCTTGTTACAGGAGTTTCAAGCATTCTTATGGTTGACGTCCCAGAAATGGTGCTTGGGCACGGCGTAGGATTGCCAGGGCGAAGCAGTGGTGTTGAGTCGTTGCGTCTAGTTCCCGGGAGCGGTGTTCTGGCACGGCTCGGGATCGCCAGGACGCAAGCGTAACGTTGAGTCGCGGCATTGAAGTCCCAGGAATGGTGTGTTGTCACGGTCAGGATTTTCAAACCGTTGTCTTCCAACAGGGCACTTCCCAGAGTGAAAAATAAATCCTTGTATGGACCTGTGAAGAGGGAACTTGGAGGAAGGGTGTATCGCAACATCGTTGATGGGTCTTGGGTTTGCAGTGGTCCTCCTCCTTCTCCTCATCCTCTTCTTCCATTCCCACTTTTCTTTTTTGTATGCGTCTTGGAACCTTTGGGGCTTCTTCGAGGCCTCTTGGGCACTGATGGCGTTTTGGGAGCCTGTTGGGGGCCTTTTGGGCGTCTTGGGGCTGTCCTTGGCGCCATGGTTCTACTCAGCTTTCCTGCAGCGTCTCGGCTGAACCCTCCTTCTCTCGGGTTCGTCTTCGGGACCTCTAAAGCCGTCCTGAGGGCATCAGCCTCGGAAGCGGAAACAACAAACAGCAACATCAACACACTCTTTGCGCTGGCTCTGGGCCCCGCTGGATGCCTCGTTCGTCGTCTTTTCGAAGAATCCTGGGGCATCTCGTGAGCTAACGGGGGCATCTTTGAGCCTTCGAGAAGTCGTTGGTCCATCTTGAGCTGGTCTGGCGACATGGTTCAGACGTGTTTGGGCGGCGTTTTATCGCCTGAGAACTATCTATAGGCCGAGATGGGCGTGGGAAAGAAATTCTTTCAGGGGTGCTTTTTTGAGGGCGGCTGCTTCAGGGATGTGACGTCCGTGGAACACCGCAGAAACCCGATCATGCAAATTAACATGCGTCCTAACATTCCACTATCGTGCAAGCACGGTGACGGATACGGTGCCCCTTCCCTGATTGTTCGACGAGCATTTCGGCACACACCGCGAAGGACTTTTGCCGAAATTGTTCGGACGTGTGGAGAAAGTTAGGTCTTCGAGAGAAGCTGGTGGCGGAGGCTAAGTATCCAGTAGTCGAGTGCCCAAAGCCAGAATGTGTTGGCGTGGCATACCAAGAGCAAGGACGAAACTCTGCTATGTGTTTTCTGTGTGAACACAAATGGACGCTATCTGGTGCGGCAAGTGCAGACGAATCTGATAGCCCAAACTTTTCAAGGGGTGTTCGTCGATGCCCGAAGTGTAACATTCCAATTGAGAAGAGTTGGGGATGTAATCACATGCGCTGCACGCACTGCGGTCGTCATTTCCAGTGGGACGACGCAGATTCCGCGAATCGAGATCGAGCAGGTGAATCTGGCGCAAGCGGTTCACGCTCCTCTGCACCCGGTGCTTCTGGCATGCCTTCCGGCTTCAACGCAGGCGGCATGCCGTTCGGCTTCACCTTTGGTACAGGCGATGCTGGTGACTTCGCGCAGCAGATGGGCCAATTCGGGCAACGACTCGGGCAAATGGGGCAGCGGATCGAACAGCAGGTTGGTGCGAGTTTCAATGCAGAGTTTCAGAACCGGACTTCCACGACGACGCATGAGCGACGAAACAAAACGGGGTCGTCTGCGCCGACATTGGCGCTTAAGCTGCCCGCGCAAGGTCGCGCGTGAGCGCCCTCGTCTCTGATGTAGCGTGCCGCGCCGGCGGCCCTCGTAAGCCGCGGCGTAAGGTCGCTATGTCACTCACGTACGACTCCGTTCTTCTCGTCGCCCACATAGCCGCACGAGCAGCTCGGACGCCCCCTGCAATCAGCAATGAGGGCCCCGACCGTGTGTGCTTGGAGCCCACTTCCGTGGCATTGCGTGACTGGCCTCGAACCAAAAGCCGCCGCGTCCCCGGTGGCAGGCTCCCTCCCGCCCGCCGCTCGCTGCCCCTCGGACACTGGCGTTCCGGCCCGCCTGCTCCGGCCTGCGTCGGGGCCTCTCCCCTCGGGTTCTGCTGGAAGTGCCGCTGGCCCGAGGTGCCCCCCCCGGGATGAAGTCGGGCATGTCCCCTTAGCCGACAGTAGGAAGAAGAGTCGGGGGACGGAGTGTTTGGACTCTTCCCTCTGTCCGTCCAAAGTCCGCCTGCTGGCGGGGACGTGCCCGACCTGCGTGCCAGAAGTGCCGCCGGCCCAACGGTGCCCCCTGTAGGCCCTCCACAAGGGGGCCCCCACGGCCTCCCGGGCGGCGCCCCTCGCAGGGCCCCGGAGGGCCTCTAGGAGGAGGAGGAGGAGGAGGAGGAGGAGGAGGAGGAGGAGGAGGAGGAGGTGGAGGAGGAGGAGGAGGAGGAGGAGGAGGAGGAGGAGGATACTAGGAGGAGGGGAGGAGGAGGAGGAGGAGGAGGAGGAGGGGAGGAGGAGGAGGAGGAGGAGGAGGATAGCTAGCAGCAGGGAGCAAAAAAGCTGGGGGCAACCTGGGCCAGGGGCATCCTTAGCAGCCCCCGATCGCACTCGCTGATCTCAATTCCTCTTGGGTCGGCTGTTGATAGACTTCCTACCCTGACACGTTGAGTAGCGAATCTGCCGTATTCGGTTCGCGAGAGGGCGCCGCGGCCGTCCTCTTTGCAGGTCCGGGTCCGTCGGTTTCGGTCCCAGGCCGTTTTCACGAAAGGGTGGTTTACGAAAGGGAGGTTTGTCCACCGCCAGCTTTAGCAGCCCCCGATCCCACTCGCTGATCCCAATTCCCCTTGGGCAATGGAATCTCAGCCCCCCCCCCCCCCTCAGTTGGGGAGAGGCCCAGCGAGACCTGAAGGGAACAGCCTTGGGGAAACCGAAAAGTATACCGCCGCTCCACCGATCCCTCCTGGGGTGCGTTCCGACCAGACTTGCGAGGCGAATCCAGCGGTGGCGACGAGGGACTCCCAAGAGGCCCAGGAAGAGGCAGGGGTAGTGGTATTGGTACATTTTCCTCTTCCAGAGCATACATCCCCCTCCAGGGGGGTGCATCAGCCAGTGGTCGGCGGCGAGCGGGGGGGGGAAGTGAGAAGGAGAAGGCCTTCTCAGAAGGTTCGGAAGTCCCCCGGCCTTCTGAGAAGTTTTCAAAGCCTTCCTCGAAAACAGAAACAACTTCTCAGAAGGCGCGAGGGCTTCTGAGGAAGTCCCGCCGCCTTCTGAGAAGGTCTTCTCCTTTTCGCTTCTCCCCCTCGCTCGCTGCCGAAGTGGGGCCAAGGCCATGCCACTGGGGATGGGGATCTGCTCAACGAGGCTCACTCAAAGCCGCCGCTGCCGCTCTGCGCTCAGCTTGCCTCGGGACCCTGGCCTCGAGGTGGGCTCCGCCTCGCCACGCCGACGGCAGCTCCCGGGCACCCCGCCTGGTCGGGTAGCCAGGACGCTGGCTGGCATGGCCGGCTGGTGCCCCGCAGGAATTTTCTAGGCCTCCTGGATGGGATCGGAGTAGGCAGGCGGGGTCACAGGATCGCGCCGCATCGGCGATGCATCGGCGATGCATCGGCGATGCATCGGCGATGCAGCTCGATGCGAGGCCCCATTTTCTCCACGCCCACGTCGCCGATGCATCGCTGACGTCGCAAGTGCATGGCCGATGCATCGCCGATGCATCGCCGCTGTATCGGCGATGCGGCGAGATCCTCCGACCCCATCTAGGAGGTCTCAAGATTTCTCGTTTCCCGATGGCCTGGTCGGAAGCTGGAGCATACACATTACCAGTGGCGGGCTGTTTTTCAATCCCCGGACTTTTGAAGGTTGGGGACGACGTCGGGGTGGTGTGGTGTATATTTTTTTCCCCGTTTCCCTGGGAAAACAGCGAAAATGGTACACACCAGGGTCCTGTATACACCAACATCCGCTTTCCTGTGGGAGTTTCAGTGCGGGGCCCGACAAAGCGTCGGTGTATAGAGTTCGGCTCCTTACCTGGGGGACCCGCAGAAGGCTTGGAGCACCTTAGGACGCTCAGAGACCGTCGACAAACGTGCTCCCAGATTTCGGACAACGGGCGTATGTCCCTACTGTGCACGCTAGGCTCGCGTCGTGTCGACCGGCGGCGATCCCGCCGCCGGCGTTCAGCGCTGAACGCCGCCGGCGACCCAGAAGCGGTCGATGTGCACCAGCCTCGAATTATCCCTATCCCTAAGATTGACACGCCAAAAGGCGATGACAATCTTAGGGATGCGCCCTCAAAAAATAAGGGAATCCCTGAGATTGGCACCGTGATGAGGAGATGCCCAGCATCGGGATAGGGAGATGTTCCAGGCTGGTAAGATGCTGAACCATCTGACGTTCCCGAAGCGGCCGATCGTTTCAGGTTGAGCGATCCCCGCGGTGTCGGGAGCCTGCGCCGTGGCGGCCTTGGCCCTGGCGCTACGGAGGGGGAGGGGGAGGGGGAGGGGGAGGAGGAGGAGGAGGAGGAGGAGGAGGAGGAGGAGGAGGAGGAGGAGGAGGAGGAGGAGGAGGAGGAGGAGGAGGAGGAGGAGGAGGAGGAGGAGGAGGAGGAGCACGACTGCGCCAGGGCCGGCACGACCCGCCGCAGCCGTGCGGGCCCCGGGCCGCGCCCCGAGCCGGGGTTTCGCTGCGCCCCTGCGCTGCGCGCGTGGCCCGAGCCCATGGCCCGCGGTGCGCCGCTGCGGGAGCTGGCGCTGCAGCCCGAGGGAAGAGAGCACGGCGACCGTGGCCAAGATCCCAGACCCCCTCGAGTCATGAAAAAATCATGACGGAAGGTTTTCCTTCGTTTTCGGCCTCCGGGGGCCCTTACCGGCCCTCAGGACCGTCAAAAAACGACTCGGGATGAAAAACCGGTCCCGGGGAATGGGTCCGGACCTCTGGGGGTCGCGTCATGAAAAAATCATGACGTCGGGGGTCTGGGATCGGCGGCGAGCGAGGGGGGGAAGCGAGGAGGAGAGGGCGCTCTCGGAGGGCGTTCTCGGGAGGCCTCCGGTGGTCCGAGGAGTCTTCTGTCTTCCGGGAGGGCTCAGGACGCTTCTCGGAGGGCCGGGGGACCTGAAGCCTTCTGAGAAGGCCCGCTCCTTCTCGCTTCCCCCCGAGCTCGCCGCCGACGAGATGTCGAGGGATCGTACCGACGCGGATCTTGGTCAGGGCCCATGCTGGCCGTCGCCGATTCGCGCGGGTGATCCAGGAAGCGACGACGGCCAAGATGGGCGGTGACCAGGATCGACACCGACGCTTCCGCGGTCCGTCTTGGTCCCCAGACATCCGACGTCTAGTTTTTCCCAACCCTCTTGCGTATGGGGTCCTCGTCTTGAATCCGCAGCGCCGCGCGTCTCCTCCTCCACCTCCCCTCTTCTCCTCCGTCTTCCCTCCCTCCTCTTCCCCCTCATCCTTGTCATCAGCGTCATCATCTTCATTGTCATCGTCGTCGTCAGAAGCGCCGCCTTCATGCTCATGTCAACCACCGTCATTTATCACTCACCATGACCATCTATCAATATTCATCCTCAGCAGCAACATGACCACCGTCATGATCATCATCATCATCATCATCATCATCATCATCATCATCGTCGTCATCATCATATAACCATAGTCATTATCGCCATCACCATCACCATCACCATCAGCATCATCATCATATTCATCAACATAAGCATCATCATCACCATCACCAGCATCATCGTCATCATCATCGCCATCACCATCCTCATCATAATCATGATCATCATCATCAACATACTCACAATGGCTATCACCAGCATCACCATCATCAGCATCAACATCAGCATCAGCATCATCAGCACCATCATTATTGTCACCACCATCATTATCATCATCTTCACCATCACTACCATCATCACTATCGTCGTCGTCGTTATCATCATCACCATCATCATCATCATCATCATCATCATCATCATCATCATCATCATCATCAGCATCATCATCATCAGCATCATCATCATCATCATCTCATCATCATCATGATCGTTGTCGTCGTCGTCGTCGCCGTCAGCACCTTCAACATGTCGGCGCACCACTCACACGTGTCGTGGCCCCATGAGGGAGCTCCACCGTCGGCTCCCGTGGAAGGGTCCGCATACTTACCCGCCCCACTTCGTCACACCCCTCACCCGTCGTTGCCCCATCTGGAGCTCCACCGATGGTCTCTGTGGCTGCGTTCGCATGGTGCCCCTGCCCACTTCGGCACACCCCTCACACGCTTCGTTCCGCCACAGGGAGCTCCACCGAAGGCTCCAGTGGCCGCGTCTTCATGGTGGCCCGCCCCATTTCGGCGCACCTCTCCCACGCTTCGTGACCCCATAGCCACTAACGGCGCCAGAGGCTGCGTTCGCATGGTGCCCCGCCCCATTCCCGCACACCCCTCACAAGTTTCGTGGCCCCACAATGAGCTCCACCGAAGGCACCAGTGGCTGCGTTTGCATGGTGGAGTGATGATCCAGGCTTGGGGCCCTAACTGGAAGGGCAGTGTCAGAGTCCTGACGGAAACTCATGGGAATCATTGTATTTGGCGCGGTTGACGTTCGCACTGTTCGCCGTGGACGCATGATTATCGAATGGCTTTCGGTCCATCCTGCCATCGTGCCTAGCTTGTGGGTCCGAGGCCAGTGGGATAGGTGTGTTCGCCGTGGGCGCATGATTATCGAATGACCTTCGGTCCATCCCGCCACCATGCCTGGTTTGTGGGTCTGAAGCCAGTGGGATAGTTGATGGGGTGTCGTCGGAGTTTTTCGGGGGGGGGGGGGGGCTTGGAGGCATCCCGCCACCGTGCCTGGGTTGTGGGGCTGAGGCCAATCGGATGGTTGATGGGTCTCGTGGGATTCCCCTCGGGGACGTCCTGGAAGCAGTTATTGCACCTCTTGCGGGGTTCTCTGGGGGCTTCTTTGGGCAATCTGGGGGCGTCTTCGGGCCGAAGGCTCGAACTGTCCGTTCGGGCTCCCCCTCTGGGCCCCATCTGAAGGCCATCCTGGGGCCCTTTTGGGGCGTCTTGGGGGTTTATTGGGCCGCCTTGGGGCCCTCTTGGGTCGTCTTGGAGCCCTCTTAGGGGGGCGCCTGGTCCGTTTTGGGGCGATCTTCGAAGCCTTTTGGGCCATCGTGGTCGAAGTGACAGCCCAAGGGGCGAATGTGCTAAAGTCATACGTTTTCCCGAGGGAATGGGAAGATATGTGTTTCTTGGTGCCCTTTTGGGGGGCCTGTTGGAGGCCCCTGGGAGCGTCTTGGAGGCATCTGGGGCCGTCTGGATGCCATCTTGGGTGTTTTTGTATGCTTTTAAGACATTCGCTTTCGGACTCCGTACGAAACCCAAAAAGGGTTTTGCAAGATTTCGGCGTGCGCGCGCGACAACGCGCGCGTGTGCGCACTTCGTTGTTGTTGTTGTTGTTGTTGTTGTTGTTGTTGTTGTTGTTGTTGTTGTTGTTGAACATTATTAATTCTAAAGAATAATTATTGTTGGGACCCCTGGTGCACGGCCCCCCCGCCGCGCCTAGGCCGCAGCTACATTTTCATCATTTTTTCGCGAAAGCTTCAGAAAAGTGGATGGGGTCCAGATCCGGTTGTTTTGTTGTAATCCGTTTTCCCTTGCAAAAAACACTATAAAATGACATTTCTTGTTCTAATATAATCAAATTTCAAGAATCCCTTGCAAAAAATAAGGTAAAGTGGACATTCGCGCGCGCAAGACGAAATCCTTCCAAAAGCTTAGTGTTCGGAACGATTTTAACATAAAAACATCAAAAAACCAATGGTTTTTCAACAAAAAAAATGTCAAAATCTCATCCCGCGCGCTCTTGCGGATTCGTAGGAAACCCAACACTTTTTAAACATTTCTGTCAAACGGGCTTTTGCGAGCAACTTTTTCGAACTTCTGCGACAACGGTTGCGCACCTGCCAGGGCCATCATCCCTGTCAAATAATACCATGCGGGACACATTCGTTTTTTCTTCGCGCGCGCACGCCGAAATCTCCAAAAACCATTGGGTTCTTAAGAATTTTAGCACCGCGCATCATAAAATCACACGAATCGCACCGTAGGTCCTCGAAAAACACCTGCACGACTTTTCAAAATTTCTACCCGCGCGCGCTGTCCTAACAACTTCTGTGGGTGTGTACTCCACGCCAGTGTAGTAGCCACGGTCGTCCGCAGGCCACGAAGTGAAGTGTCCGAACGTCATAGGGCGGGAAGCTGGGTGTGGGTGGTGGCGAAGAGTCGTGTGGATATTTGGTAGAGCTTGCACTGCCCCCCCACAAAGTGGGGGTATTGGCTGGCGTCGCATGAAAACCCTGGCACTGGTGAGAACACTGAGCGTTCGGGTAAAGTGATTGTTGTTGTTGTTGTTGTTGTTGTTGTTGTTGTTGTTGTTGTTGTTGAACATTATTTCTTCTAAAGAATAATTATTGTTGGGATCCCTGGTGCACGCCCCCCCCGCCGCGCCTAGGCCGCAGCCACATTTTCATCATTTTCGAGCGAAAGCCTTGACAAAACGATATGATCCAGATCCGGTTGTTTTGTCCCCCCCCGCTTTCCCTTGCAAAGAACAATATAAAATGACATTTCTTGTTCTAACATAACCACATTTCAAGAATCCCTTGCAAAAAATAAGGTAAAGTGGACATTCGCGCGCGCAAGACGAAATCCTTCCAAAACCTTAGTTTTCGTAGCGAATTTAACATAAAAACATAACAAACAAATGGTTTTTAACAAAAAAACTTGTCAAAATTTCATCCCGCGCGCTCTTGCGGATTCGTAGGAAACCCAACACCTTTCAAACATTTCTGTCAAACGGGCTTTTGCGAACAACTTTTTCGAACTTCTGCAACAACGGTGGCGCACCTGCCAGGGCCATCATCCCTGTCAAATAATACCATGCGGGACACATTTGTTTTTTCTTCGCGCGCGCACGCCGTCGTCGTCGGCCGCGGGGCCCTGAATAGTAGCCACGGTCGTCCGCATGCCACGAAGTGAAGTGTCCGAACGTCATAGGGCGGGAAGCTGGGTGTGGGTGGTGGCGAAGAGTCGTTTGGAAATTTGGTAGAGCTTGAACCGGCCCCCCCACAAAGTGGGGGTATTGCCCGCCTCCTATGAAAACCCTGGCACTGGTGAGAACGGAGTGTCCCCACGTGCTAGTAATTGTTGTTGTTGTTGTTGTTGTTGTTGTTGTTGTTGTTGTTGTTGTTGTTGTTGTTGTTGTTGAACTCTCATTTCTGAAGAATAATTATTGTTGATTCCCCCCACCGGTGCACACTGTTTTTTCTCAGTCAAAGTGCGCCCCTCGACGCTCGCACCCTGTTTTTTGACAGGGAAAGTCTTGAACCTCAAACTGCGTTGTTGCCCCCCCGGATTACAACAACAACGGCTCCCGCTTTAGACTTCTTCACAATTTACTCATGACCCCCGCTCCCGCCTGAGACTTCCTCACAATTTACTCAGGATCGGCGCTCCCGCTTGAGACTTCCTCGCAATTTACTCTGGACCCCCGCCTCCGCCTGAGACTTCCGCGCAATTTATTCAAGGAGCGGCGCTCCCGCTTGGGACCTCCCGCGCAACTGAGCCCCCGAACATTGCCAGAGCTCTCACCCCAACGTGGCCGGCGACGGCGGGCCCCAGTTCGTTTCCCACGTCTCCTTGAGCGTTGCCTTCCACATCGCGCTGAGCAGCATCGCCAGTGCCTGCTGCTGAGGCCTACTCTTTTCGCACAAGCAGATCCTGGCGCTGTAGTAATGGCGCTTCGTTATTGTATATCGCTGATCACATTCCCGCGCGCGCGAATCCCAGCAATGTGATTGATGACATCGGGCTCCGGCTTCACCTCCCGCAGGGCCGCTGGGCAACAACATTGTCCACTGCCGTATTTCGCTTTCCTGCACGCAGTGACCCCAGCGTTATGGCTAATGAAATGGGGTTTCAGTGTGGATTGCCGTTGATATCTGCTTGCGACAAGTGAAATGGGTTCTCACCGACAAGTGCCAGAACTCGCTGCCTCTGATTGCGGGTTCGCCTCCCGCGCTTCTCCAGTTACACGTGGCCGGGAAGAAATACAACCCCCCAAGAGGGGTACGATCGAAGACGAAGAGGGCGGGTATCCAGGGTTTGGGATATGCATAGTGAATGACACGCGGGCAGATAGGAGCGAGCAGTCTTAGAATGATTGTTGTCGTTGTTGTTGAACATTATTTCTTCTTAAGAATAATTATTGTTGGGGCCCCTGGTGCGCGACCTCTGCGCCGCGCCTAGGCCGCAGCTACATTTTCATCATTTTTTCGCGAAAGCTTCAGAAAAGTGGATTGTGTCCGGATCCGGTTGTTTTGTTGACGCTCGCTTTCCCTTGCAAAAAACAATAGAAAATGAAAATTCTTGTTCTTACTTGATCAAATTGCAAGAATCCCTTGCAAAAAATAAGGTAAAGTGGACATTCGTGCGCGCAAGACGAAATCCTTCCAAAACCTTAGGTTTCGTAACGATTTTAACATAAAAACATCAAAAACCCAATGGTTTTTTAAGAAAAAATTGTCAAAATGTCCTTCCGCGCGCGCTGTCCGAATCCCACAAAACCAATGGTTTTTCAACATTTATGTTACATGAGCTCGCGCGAGCTACTTTTTCTTGTTCTAACATAATCAAATTTCAATAATCCCTTGCAAAAAATAAGGTAAAGTGGACATTCGCGCGCGCAAGACGAAATCCTTCCAGAACCTTAGGTTTCGTAGCGATTTCAACATAAAAACATCAAAAACCCAATGGTTTTTCAAAAAAAAATGTCCAAATTTCATCCCGCGCGCGCTGTCCGACTCCCACAAAACCAATGGTTTTTCAACATTTCTGTTACATGAGCTCGCGCGAGCTACTTTTTCTTGTTCTAACATAATCAAATTTCAATACTCCCTTGCAAAAAAAAGTAAAGTGGACATTCGCGCGCGCAAGACCAACAAAAAACACGACGATCTCAGGAACTTGCCCCAAAAATGTGACCAACTCCGCTCTCTCTGTCTCTCTCTCTGTCTGCTCTCTGTCTCTCTCTCTGTCTGTCTGTGTCATGTATTGTATGTCACAATTGCAGGATGCTGGGCACACGCGCGCCCCGAATAAGTGACCAAGTTCTGTGGGTGTGTACCCCACGCCAGTGTAGTAGCCACGGTCGTCCGCACGCCACGAAGTGAAGTGTCCCAACGTCATAGGGCGGGAAGCTGGGTTTGGGTGGTCGCGAAGAGTCGTTTGGATATTTGGTAGAGCTTGAACTGCCCCCCCACGAAGTGGGGGTATTGTCTCGCGTCGCATGAAAACCCTGGCACTGGTGAGAACACTGAACGTTCGGGTAAAATGATTGTTGTTGTTGTTGTTGTTGTTGTTGTTGTTGTTGTTGTTGTTGTTGTTGTTGTTTTTTTCCAGGGTTCTTGAACGTGGATGTATTTTTGGAAACGGGTGGCGGGGGGGTGCCGATGCCGGCCCCCCCAGGGGTGGTGTATATTAATATTTAGAATGGGCGATGGGGCAGAATCAATTGCAACGTGCAATACGGAAACGGGATGGGATCATTTTGGAGGGGGGGTCGAGTTTATTAATTTTCTTTTAGAGCGGAGATTCTATGTAGTAGCCTATGTGGCGGCGACGTGGCGGCGACGGCGGCCGCGCAGCCGCCAGACCAAAGAAACGGCCCAGACGACGGGCGGCGACGCGGCGGCGGCGGGGCGGCGACGGCGGCCACGTAGCCGCCAGACCGAAGACACGGCCCACTCCTGTAGAACAAGGGCAAGAAACGCTAAGTGCAAACCCTGTTTTGGGGAAGCGCACCGGGATTGTCATGGCGCTACCATCGCAGAGCGGATTTCGTTCGGAAAACGATACGGTGGGCCCGGAATGCCCAGGAGAATTTCGTTCCGGATTTCGAGGTGAATTTCGTGCGGATTTTTTGGGCCAGCGATGAAGACCAAAAAGAACCCACGCGAAATTCACTTCGTTTTTCGCTCGCCGTTCGGGAGAGCATCCACGCAAAAATCCACGCAGGAATCCACTGCAGCATGTGTGCCAGGCCGTCGCAATGAGGATTGAATGCGGCATGCCGTCGGAGATCTGGTCTCAGCCTTGGCCACGGTCGCCGCCCTCTTTCCCCCCAGCAGCTGCTGCACGGCCAGCCTCGGCGCTCGTGGGCGGAAGACACCTCCGTATCCACCTGCCTCGGGGGCCGGGCCTCTGGGCTTAAGTCGGGCCTGTCCCTCTACAGGGGGGATATGCAAAAACAGTCAAAAAGTGGTCGGTCGACGATGTTTTAGTATTTTCGATACCTATTTGAATGTTTGTTGGCTATTTGTTTCTCGTCCAAAATCCGCCTGTACGGGGACACGCCCGACCTAAACCTGGGCCGCGACCCCGCGGATGCGTCGACCAGACGTAAAAGGAACCTTTCGGCGGGTTGGCCTTTGGCGCGGGCCCAGAAGGACCCCCAATCGCCGAACTTGCAGCGGCAGCAGCGGCTTGCGCCAGGTTTGGCCGCCCCGCGTCCCCTGTGCAGCCGCGCGCCCAAGGTCACTCTTGCCCAGGGTCGCTCTTGCGTGCTGCCGAATGTGGGACGCCTCTCCGCGGATGCCCCGCGCAGAGCGCACCCGTGCGGCCGCGTGCCCGCGGGATCCCCAGACCCCCGACGTCGTGATTTCTTCAGGGCGCGCCCCTCGAGAGGTGAGGTCAGGACCTCTTCCCAGGGCCCGGTTTTTCCCCCGAACCGTCTTTGGACGGTCGGCGCCGAGGCCCAGGACGGGCCCCGGGAGGCCGCAGACGGCGACGAGACCTGTCCGTCGTGGCTTCTCCACGGCGCGAGGGGAACCCACTGGGTCACGCCCCAGAGCCCAGACCGCGAGGGCGTGGACATGGATGCGTTCCCAGACATTCGACGTCTCGGTGTTTTCGAGACGCGGGCCTCCGACCTCCCGACTGCTTCCCGGGTGCTGGTGTTTCCTCCCGAGTTTTTGTTGACGGTCCCGAGGCCCGGCGAGGGCCCCGAGAGGCCCCAAAGCTGAGAACATTTTCCGCCTCGATTTTTTCGAGACGCCCGATGTCTTGGTTCCCAGACCCCCGACGTCATGATTTTTCCATGACGCGACCCCCAGAGGTCCGGACCGCTTCCCCAAGGACCGGTTTCTTCCCCCGAGTCGTTCTCTGACGGCCCGGAGGGCCGGTAAGGGCCCCCGGAGGCCGAAAAGAGCGACAAACCTCGCGTCGTGATTTCTGCATGACTCGAGGGGGGGTCGTCGGCTCGCCGCTCGGGAGGGCCGCCGCCGCCGGCCCCAGCGCCTTCGCGGAGGCGCCGGGCGCAGCGCACGGGGCCGGGCCGCCGGGCGGCGGGGCGGAGGGCCGGCTGTGCGAGGGCCTGCGGAGCTCGCGCGTGCAGGAGAGCGGTGCGGCGGGAGGGGGTGCGGTGGAGTCGGGCCTGTCCCTCTGCAGGAGGGATGTTCAAGAATACTCTGGATTCCATAATAAAGTAGGGGGGGTCACATTTGGGGGGGGGGTCTGATTTGAGCTGTCTTGGAGGGTTCGGGGGGGTCTGGGCAAAGGGCCGCCCTTTCATGGATGGTCTGGGGGGGTCTAAAACTTGTGGTCTGGGAGGATTGTGACCCCCTCCCTTTTATTACGAAATCTGGAGTAGTCAAAAAATGGTCTGGGGGCTATGTTTTGGGTATTTTTGGGCATCTTGTTGAGCATTTTTGGAGTACTTTTTTGAGTTGTCGTCCAGAGTCCCCCTGTAGGGGGGGACACGCCCGACTTACGGGTGCGGTCAGGCCGTGGCGAAGCGTCCTGGCGTGCCTGAAGGTTCGGATGCAACTCCCGGGAGGTCAATGCTGATTTTGCCCTGGTCCGAAATTTGGCTGAATCCGGCTTCATCCCGCTGAATCTGGCTTGATCCCGCTTAATCCTTTTTAGTTTGGCTTAGTCCCGCTTAATCCGAGGCCCACTCTGGCGTGGCGAAGCGTCCTGGCGTGCCTGTATAGGCCTACCAAACCAGGGCCGGACCTAAGCGGTGTTTTGGCGATTTCGTGGGCCGTTTTCGTGTCGCTTTGCGGTAGAGGTGGATTGAAGACAAAACGAGGGAAAGCGAAAACAACATGAAAACGGAAAACACCGTTTAAATTCAGCCTTGTACCAAACAGGACCTTTTGAGTCGTAGTTTACACACGAAATGTTCTTAGAACCTTTCTGGCTGGGACGGTCTCGTTTTAACACGTCGGGCATGTTTGTGTTCTGCGAACACGGTTTTTGTTCTTAGAACCTTTTTTGGGTTCTGAGAACATGTCGTGATAGGCCTATAGGAATGCTGGGACGGTCGGTCCCTGCTCAAAGGAAAGCGGTGCGATGGAAACGGGTACAGTCAACCCGTATCATAAGGATGCGCGGCAAATTTGCAATGGCCTCGGGTGGCCATGTTCGTGTTGTTCGAACGAGGATGGCCAGCGAAAGTCGCTAAGGATGGGCCGAAGGGGCAAGGATGCAAGGGGCACCCTTGGGAAGGTTGCCGAGTCTTACCATGCGGGTTGACTGTAGTAGACCCTGCTCTTGGTGCTGCGTTTTTCCATTGCGGGCGTTTTCGCCTGTCTTCGGGCCCTGGGGCCCTCACATATCTCTAGGCCTCCTGGATGGGGTCGGAGTAGACGGGGTCGGAGCAGCGCGCCGCATCGCCGATGCATCGCCGATGCGGCTCGATGTGCAGCCCGATCTGCTTCACGTCGACGTTGCCGATGCCTCGCCGACGTCGACGATGCATCGCCGGCGCATCGCCGATGCATCGGCGATGCGGCGCGATCCTCCGACGCCATCTACGCCGACCCTGTCTAGGAGGCCTCTACAGACCCTCATCGGGGCCCTCACAGATCGATCTGGCTCGGAAAAGTAAGCAGGGAGATGGGGTCTGGGCTCTGGTCGGGATTTCTTGCGATGTTTCAATGTTTTCGCAGCGTCCGATCTCAGGGGAAACTGTTTTTCATTTCCTTGCGATCACGGGCGTGACCGGGGGGGGAGGGTACAGGGGCCCCCGGGGGGGGGGGCTGGTCACGGGCGTTATCGCGAATCATACAAAAGGTGCTCGTGCGGAACCCTGAGCTCAGGCGTCGCATTTTTTTCGAGCAGGGCGTTTTCGCACAGTTTTACGGGACCGGGGACCCTCACAGATCGAGCCAGCTCGAAGAATGGCGCAGCAAGATGGTGTCTATGGCCCAGGTCGTGATTTTCCGCGATGTTGCAATTTGTTTCGCAACGTCGGATCTCAGGGAACGGGTACTGAAAGACTCCCAAACATGCGATGCCCTGTTTCTGTTCAGTACGGGATCACTGGAAGTCCCGACCCATTTCCCGAGGCTGGTTTTCCTCCCGGATCGTTTTTGGACGGCCCCATGGGGCCCAGCGAGGGCCCCCAGAGGCCCCAGGGCGATTCTTCCACGACGCGAGCCTGTTTGGGCTGGGGGGGAAGAGCGACCCAGACCTCGACGTCGTGATTTTTCATGACGTGCCCCTCATAAGTCTGGATCCCTTCCCGGGGACCGAGCTGTTCTCTGATGGCCCGAGGCCCGGGCAGGGCCCCAGGAGGCCGAAAATAGCGAAAACTTCTCGTCGTGATTTTTTCGCAGCGCGAGGGGGCCTGTCTGGGCTGGGGAGGAGGAGGAGGAGGAGGAGGAGGAGGAGGAGGAGGAGGAGGAGGAGAGAGGAGGGGGAGGAGGAGGAGGGGAGAGGAGGAGGAGGGGGAGGAGGGGGAGGAGGAGGAGGAGGAGGAGGAGGAGGAGGAGGAGGAGGAGGGGGAGGGGGAGGGGCTGGCGCGGGGCTCGATCTGGCGGCGTGGCCGCCAGAGCGAGCCCCATGGCCGGGCGGGCTGGGCGGCGGCGGTGGGCGGGAGGGGCGCGGGCCGGGAGCGCCCCGAGCTCCGGGGGCGCGCACCTCGCCCCTGGTCGTAAGTCGGGCGTGTCCCTCTGCCGGGGGAAGACTCAAAAGCTGTACACAACTAGTAGGGGTGCCGATTGTTTGAGCATCTGTTTTGGCTTTTTTTGGTTTCCACCGGTTTTTCGCCCAAGGTCCGCCTGCAGGGGGACAGGCCCGGCCTAGCTCGGGCGAAGAGAATTGTGCACATGCACCGGTCCTGACAACGCCCATCCTTGACCCAGGATCGGTGCATATACCTTCCTGGCCAAGGTAACCTGAGGAAGTCTTTAGTTTTGCTCTCCCCCCCCCCCCCTGGAGCTCTCGGCGGTGAATAAACTCGTCCCGAAACTCGTCCGCTCCCGAAACCTCTCCTCCTCAAAGTGCAGCTCTCGCCTTAGCGCCGCGCGCATTCGTCTTAAAAGCTTGCAACAGTTTCAAGGATGGAGGGCTCGTGTTGTTCAAAGTGCAGATCTCGCCTCAGCGCCGCGCAAACGTACTCGTTATCGTCTTCGTCTTCGTCTTCGTCGTCGGACCGCCCGAACTATAGTTATTTTCCGCTCTTGTCTGGCGGGGTCGTTTTTCCGAGTGGTCAACAAATTCGCCTGAATGATATTTGTTTTCCATCTGCTGGCCAGGGGATTTCTAAAGACTTGTGTGGGTTAAGAGGGCGTATGCACCGATCCTGGGCTCAGGATGGTCCTGGCCAGAATCGGTGCATGTGCATAGTTCTCTTTCCTCTCCTGACCCTGGTCGCGGGCCTTCCACGCCGGACGTGCTCGCCCGGGTTCTCCAAAGGGCGGCCTCGCCGATCCCCACACAGCGGAGGCCCGTGCCAAGAAGCACCCTGCCAGGATGAGGTCGGGCCTGTCCCTCTACAGGAGGGATGTTCGAAAATAGTAAGGAGACGATCTTTTCGATTATTTTCGAGCATTATCTGAATACTTCGCGAGATGTTTCTTGTTTCAAAAAAGATGGCCCCGAATCCCCCAGTGGGGGGACAGGCCCGACCTAACCCTACGGTGGAGGCCCGTGCCAAGCATCACCCTGCTAGGAGGCCTCTATGGGAATTTGGGGGGGACGGTGGAGCCCCGAGGTCCGGCGGCTGCAATGTGTTCACGCCGGGTGTCTTTGTCCGGTTTCGGGCCCCGGGGCGAGCACGGGTCGATCCGGCTCGAGCGGAGCAGCAGCAGTCAACGGCACCGTAACGGGTACTTACTAACGGGTACTTTGAGTTTTTGCCGAAAGTTGCCGCTTTAGGGCCTTTTTCTTGCATTGCAGCTTTGCCCACATCGGGAAGGGTTGGGTTCGCTGGGTCACTGGCTAAAGTACCCGTTAGTGGAGTCCCCGTTTGAGGGGCGCTGAAGCAGGATCGGGTCCAGGGCCCCAGTTGTGCTTTCTGACGATGTGGAGTTGCTGCTCACGATTTTTGAAGCTGGGGCGAAGATCCCAGCAGATTGATGAGGAGGGGGATGGGATACAGTGGGAACCCATGCCAAGAAACACCCTGCTTGCCTCCAGGGCGCCCTGGGTTTCTTGGGTTGATGGGTCTGCCAAGGGGAGCGTGACGTTCCCACACCAGGAATCAATGGACGTCCTGGGGTCTCAGGGTTGGGTTTCTTGTGGAAGGTTTCTTGTGGTCGAGCCCCCACTGTACCCTCTTAATTCCGTCTTTAGCGTCGATTAGCGCCTGGGAGTCGATGAGATAGCGCCGATGTAGCGTCGGTTAGCGTCGACCAAAGTAGATTTAGCGTCGATCAGCGTCGATTTGGCGTCGGTTTGCGTCGATTCGAAAGAGCCGACAAGATGGTATGGGAGGCTCCCATGAGTTGCCACCGAAATCTTCGCCCGGGTTCTCAGGGGCGGCCTCACCGACCTCTAGCAAACCATCCTCTGTGACATCCCCCTCCCCTCTCCAGAGGGAAGCTTGAAAGGCGAGGGGATCGTGCCCGGGTTTCGGGGCCCAGGATTCAGATAAGGAAAGCCCTCAAATCTTAGCGTTGCAGTTTTTCACACCGGGGGATTTTGCCTTGGTTCGGGCCCCGGGAGGCTCTCGGGTGGATCTGGCTCGAGAGGTGGCCCAGGAAGATGGGGTCTGAGGCTCCAGGCGTGATTCCTCGGTCAGCCCATCGTGGTTGTAATATTTGCTGTTCAGCACCGTGCCCATTTTCCGTGCCCCTTGCGGGCGTGCAAGCAGGAGAGCCGCAGCGCCCAGGTCAGGTTCGAGGGCGTGAGGTGCGCTCACGCTGGGAGCGTCAGGGGGGGCAGACCGGCTCAGTGCGTCGAGCTTCGAGGATCGAGGCTCGCTGCCTGGAGGCTTCTGATCGCCCGGGGGCGCCCACGCGGCGACGGCTGGATCTGCCTCGAGATCCTGGGCAGCACGAACCCGAGGAGAGGTTCCAGGGATCGATTTTGGACCTCTGGGCCCAGACCCCCGACGTGATGATTTTTTCATGACGCGACCCCCAGAGGTCCGCACCGATTCCCCGGGACCGGTTTTACATCCCGAGCCGTTTTTTTTGGCGGTCCCGAGGGCCGGTATAAAGGGCCCCCGGCGGCCGAAAATAGCGGCAAACCTCGCGTCGTGATTTTCCCATGGCTCGAGGGGGCAAGCCCTCTCTCGGGCGGAGGAGGAGGAGGAGGAGGAGGAGGAGGAGGAGGAGGAGGAGGAGGAGAGGAGGAGGAGGAGGAGGAGGAGAGGAGAGGAGGAGGAGGAGGAGAGGAGGAGGAGGAGGGAGGAGGAGGAGGAGGAGGAGGAGGAGGATAGGAGGAGGAGGAGGAGGAGGATGAGGAGGAGGAGGAGGATTTTCCCATGGGCGAGGGGCTCTGGGGGGGTGGATGGGCTCAGCTTCGAGGCTCGAGGCTCTCGGATCTGGTTTTTCGGCTGTCCTCGGCGGTCCTCCGGCCTCGGAGTGCGGGGTCCAGCAGCCGCGCCTCGCCGAGGGCGCTCCATAGGGTGTGCCCAGGATCGTCCTCCAGGAAGCTCCCAGGAGGCTCCAAGAATGGCCTAAGAGGCTCCCCAAAGGACCCTTCCTCCTCCTCCTCCTCCTCCTCCTCCTCCTTCTCCTCCTCCTCCTCCTCCTCCCTCCTCCTCCTCCTCCTCCTCCTCCTCCTCCTCCTCCTCTTCCTCCTCCTCCTCCCTCCTCCTCCTCCTCCTCCTCCTCCTCCTCCTCCTTGCGGCCGCGGCCGCAGGAAGCCCTCGCGAGACAGCCAGCCCTCGGAACCCGCGCGCGAGATGCACACACACGGGGGGGGGGAGGACGCCAGAGCGCCCGGAACGCAGCGGCCTCCCCAGACCCCCTCGAGTCATGAAAAAATCATGACGGAAGGTTTTCCTTCGTTTTCGGCCTCCGGGGGCCCTTGCCGGCCCTCAGGACCGTCAAAAAACGACTCGGGATGAAACACCGGTCCCGGGGAATGGGTCCGGACCTCTGGGGGTCGCGTCATGAGAAAATCATGACGTCGGGGGTCTGGGTCTCCCACGGCCACGGGAAGTCACCCCCGCAGCGCGCGGAGCGGAGAAGCCTGGGACTCCGAGGGGGGAATCTATACATGACCACCGCCTGGAGGATCGATTTTCGGGGACCTCGACAGGCGGCGGATATGCACATTTTCGGGCCTCTGGTGGCCAAAATATGCCCAGATCCACCGCCCGCTGGGGCACCAGGACGTCGGCTCCCGGGCGGTGGATTTGGATAAATCCCCGCCTCGCAAGGGTACCCTGACGGAGAGCATCTGGCTTCTTGCTGCGCGTCCCCACGGCCTGACCCGAAAAAGCCAAGCGCAGCGGCACCGAAAATCACCCACTCATCCTCCTGGGGGCGCCCGGTTGCCCCACCCCGCCCAGGAGCGTGCGGCGCTTCGCTATTGGAGGCACATCGCCGATCTAGCGGCGATGTACAGTGGAAGCCCATGCCAAGAAACACCTGCGTGCCTCCAGGGTGCCCTGGGTCTCTTGGGTTTCGACGATTTTGCGATGGAAAGCGTGACGTTGCCAGACCAAAAATCGTCCTGGGGTCTCAGGGTTGGGTTTCTTGTGGGAGGTTTCTTGTGATCGAGTCCCCACTGTATCGCCGATGCCAGCTCGATGTTTCCGCCCCTGAGCCCGTCCCCCCCTTGCCGTGGCCCCCGATATTGAAGCGGCACGAGCACGAATCGTCTGAGGGCCGCGCAGACCTCTCGGATCGGCGCTGGGCTTCAGTCAGGCGTGCCCCTCTACAGGGGACGATTCTTGCAGGATTTGTTGGGTGACTTTCGAGCATTCTTTTGGCTATCTTTCATTGTTTTTCCTCCCAAAATCCGCCTGTAGGAGAGCATGCCCGACCTAGCGCTGGGTCTCCCCGGCGGCGCCTCCGCCCGCCGGGCAGAGGCGCCCAGAGGCCGACCCACGAGGCCTCTGCGCGGACCCCCGGGGGCTCATGGCTCTGCATCTCTCCTCCTCCTCCCCCCTCCTCCTCCTCCTCCTCCTCCTCCTCCTCCTCCTCCTCCTCCTCCTCCTCCTCCTCTCCTCCCTCCCCTCCCCTTCCCCTCCTCCTCTCCCCTCCTCCTCCTCCTCCTCCTCCTCCTCCTCCTCCTCCTCCCCCCTCCCCCCCTCCCATCCTCCCTCCTCCTCTCCTCCTCCTCCTCCTCCTCCTCCTTCTCCTCCTCCTCCTCCCCTCCTCCTCCTCCTCCTCCTCTCCGCCTCCTCCTCCTCCTCCTCCTCCTCCTCCTCCATCCTCCTCCTCCTCCTCCTCCTCCCCCTCCTCCTCCCCCTCCTCCCCTCCTCCTCCTCCTCCTCCTCCTCCTCCTCTCCTCCTCCTCCTCCCTCCTCTCCTCCTCCCCCTCCCCCTCCCCTCCCCTCCCCCTCCTCCTCCTCCTCCTCCTCCGCCTCCTCGTGAGAGTTTGAGCGTGCGTAAAACGTAGGGTTTCAGGGAGTAAGTGCCTGGCGAGGGGGAAGGGTCTCTCTTGCCTTCTGTCCCTTTCCCCCTCTCCGCGGCCCCTCTGGGGCTCAAGTTTCCTTCTCGGGCCCTTGAGGGGGCGATCCGCGCGGGGGAGCGCGGCCTGCCCTGCGGACCAGTGTCCGCACAGGGGCCGAGAGCCATGGAGAGGTGAGGAGAAAGGTGCGAGGCTGCACCAGCCCAGTGCCCGCAGGCGCGGGCCGGAGGCAGCGCAGCCGTGAGTACATGATGGCGTTGCTGCCGATGCTCATCGGAGCCGTGGCCGCCGTCGAGATTGGCCGCAGATGGCGAGCACAGCCGGCGACGCCGGCTCTGCCGCCGGCGGCCCGCGCCGCGGACAGGACGCTGCCCGCGGAGGCCGTGACGGCCGACGGAGGGGCGTACGCGCCTCTGCTGCGGGCGCTGGAGGAGGACCAGCGGCGCCGCGGCACGGCGGCGGCGACGGAGTGGCCGCAGCGCCAGCCCCCCCCAGCTGGGCCCGTCCCCGCTGCCGGGAAGGGGAGAGGAGGGCCCTCAGGGCCAGCGGCCGCCCTGCCCTCGGGAGGCAAGGGGCGCCAGCAGCCGCCGACGGCGCCTGCAGCAGGCCAGCCACACCTGGAGACCCCGCCATCAGCCTCCGGCGACGGAGGTGAGGAGGGATCACGGCGCCGCAGCGGCGGGGTGTGGAGCTGGTTCGGGAGTCGTCGGCGGGACCCCCCGCTGCGGCGAAGTCCTGAGGGCGCGGGCGGCTCGGAGGATACGGAGGAGGAGATGCGAGGCTGGTTCAGCTTCGGAGGGGTCAAGTTCGGAGTGAGCTGGCTCGGAGGTTGGATTACTGACTTGCCGCCGACGGAGATACAGTGGTCTGATCTGATGTGGGGCGGAGGTGGCCTCGTGGGAAGCGGCCTCAACACGGTGGGGTACGCGGCGTTCGGCACGGGTTGGCCCTTGCTGTGCTGGACCACCTTCGCAGGTTTGATCGTGGCGTTGGTCATCGGCTTGGGGTATGGTCTCCACTCCATCGCCTCGGCAGTGGACGTGTTGGTCTGCGCGCCCCTCCGCTGCCTGGGACGGGCGTTGGGATTTTGCTGCCCAACCACGCAGCCGCAGGTCACGGCCGCTGAGGAAGGAGTGGTCCCAGAGCTGAGAGGACCAGCCACCGCTATTGCCGTGGAGAACGAGTTCTATGCTCAGCTGCGCGCGAAGGGGGCCGACAAGGTGCCGCATCACCTGATCATCAAGGTGGGCGACACCGCCGCGAGGCTGGAGAGACCCCCTTTGAATACTGGGATTAAGTATAAGAAGGCAGGAGTGGCGTGGCCGTACCGCGAGGTGCTTGCTACTACGTCGAGGCGACTGCGCGACCTGCTGGAGGACTCTCAGGACAAGGTGGTGCACCTGTGTAGGGACACGCCCTGCGCGGACGAAGGTAACTACGCCGTGCATGCCCCGGCGTACGGGTATGTGACAGCTGAGACGGACACCAACCTGGAGGCGCTGGTGGAGGCGGCGCCGAAGCCTTGTTGGGCAGGTCGGGCGGTGGGGGCAGCGGCTGCATCGTGTGGGCGGGGCTGTGCCGCCTTGGGGCTAAAGGGTTGTGCCAGGCTATGCGGGTCCCTCAAGCGTTGTGGCCAGAGGGGTTGCCAGCGCGGCCGGCGAAGCAGAGCAGACATCCCTGCCGCCCTGTTGAAGGACCCGAACTCGGAGACAGAGTCGGAGCCGGAGCACCAGCGCTGCATGGCCAACGAGGTGCTGTACCAGGAGGGTGACACGATCTTCCAGCTTTGCAAGGAGAAGTGTCGAGACCGAGCCCGAGGTGCCCCAGTCCGCCTGGTCAAGGAGGATGGCGAGAAGTCGAATGTCAAGGGGGCGGAGAAGGTGGTCAACTTGTGCTGGCAGCACACGAACGCCTATGAGCGCGAGAGAGGCGTGAAGAAGTGTGCGCACCTGGGCTGCCACGCGTTGGGTCGGGTTCTGAACCGTGGGGTGTTGACGTGTTTGGAGCACGACTTGGCGAACGAGGAGGCCGTACGACTTGTCGCCGTTGCTGAGGGACCGGCGCCTGTGGTAGCCGGAATGGCATCCGAGCAGCCCACGCGGTACAGGTCGAGGTCCCCTACGCCGACGGCTGGGAGACCACTCCTGCCCCTGGTGTCGGCCAGTGGGGCATGGCTAACGGCCCTGGTGCGAGGCCCACGGGGTACGGAGATGGCGAAGAAGTACTATTGCTACGGGTGCCAGCTGGCGTTTGAGGAGGAAGGCTGGACTACGTATCATATCCCAGGGCTCGAAGCCCAGGCGACAGTCCCATCCAACCTG